GCTTGGCCTGCTGTGTTCATCCAGCTCCACACCTAGTTATCTCAGATTCTCCAGCATCTGCAGTTTCTACTATCTCTAGAGGGGGATCGGAGTGTGTTTGTGCATTAAACACAATGTTAGCATATACATGTAGCAAGTAATTAAGGCAGCAAATAGAATTTGGCCTTTATTTTAAGGGAATGGAGTTTAAAAATAGGGAAGTCTTGTTAATACAACTGTATAGGGTACTCATTAGGCCACATGTGGATTACTGTGTACGCTTTTTGTCCCTATCTTTAAGGGAAGGCTGGGGTTGAAGGCAGTTCAAAAGTAATTTGTTAGGCTGATTCCTGACATGAAGGAGCTGACTTACCAAAAGAACAGTAACAGTAAAACAAGTTAGGCCTTGGAGTTTAGAATAATGAAAGGTGATCTAATTTAAACATACAAAATTCTAAAAAGGGGGTACAACAGGGTAGACATTGAGATGACGTTTCCACTCCTGGGGGGACAGGTTCAAACTCGGGGACATAGTTACATCTAGAAGAAACTTTAAAATGGAGCTACAACACGATTTCTAACCCTGAATAGAGTAGTACCCCAGGAGGTATGGTGCCTGGTTTACCAAAAAGTATTTAAAAAGAGGAAGAATATGTGAAATACGAAGCAGTCAAGCCCTAGGGCAGATCAGCCATGATTTTGTTGAATGGTTGGAAAGCATGAGGGGCTAAATGGCCTACTCCAGCTTGTTTGTGTTCTGATGTTAATGTTCCAGAGTCACAAAGGCTAACCAGGTAAGATGGCAAATTTCCTTCCTTGAAAAGGACATTAAAATGAACCACATGGTGGTTTTTATTCTAACAATAATTGACAATATTAAAAATTGTAACCATGAACACCAAGACTTTAGCTTCATTTTTGTGACTTGTCAAATGAATTTAAATTTCACCATCCACCGTGGTGGATTTTGAACCCATGTTTCTAGACTTTTAGTCTGGGCCTCTAAATTACTAGTCCAGTGAGACTACAACGATGCCACCATATTCAGTGAATATCAGGGCCCAACATTTAGTTACTTTCTTATCATATAAACCCATCCTGGTCAGTCAGAATAAAAATGTAACAGTCCTTCCAGCAGAGCAAACATACCACTCAAATCGCTATTCAAAATTTCCAAAGACGACCGATGCACACCTTGTTTTGGACTGAACCAGTTTAAACTCTTACCCAGGTTGTCCTCTTAGATCAAAATGAGACTCTTCCTTTAGGACACTCAGTCCATCTGGGCTTTTCCTCAGTTTCCATAAATGCAGACTGTTATCATCCAAGAGTGTCACCAACTGACCCTACAACAAAGAAATCCACATACCAATACTGCAGATCATGTCATACAAAATCCACCAGCTCAAAAATGAAGTCAAGCAGAGCAAATGGTGGAAAATACTCTCCTTTCACCTTCTCCTGAGCCACAAACTCAGTAGAGGTGTGGACAGCACCATATCTTTTAGTCAAGCCATTTACAAGCTAGTTCAGTCATTTCAGATTATACCTCTGATCACATTTTTTTGCCTGGAGATTAGCATTAGCAATAACTCTGGCTCAGCTGCTTAGATCATCTCTTATGCCTCTTGTCCCAATGCCACCTCCATCCAAGATGCAGCATTGTCTTTTTTGTCATTTAGTCTTTCCTACCACACATGCCACCACAGACCTCCCGGTTTCTTGTTCCTAATTCCTGTTTAAAACTTGCTGCAAACTTTTGACAAGATGTCACTGACCTGAACCATGCTCGACCTGCTATTTCCAACACTGCCTCAAGTTATTAGCTGTTCTAAAAGTCAACCATTGCTCGTCTTCCATACTTCAAAGAATTAATTCTGCTAAGTGTCATCATTAAAAGGGACTGCATAGTAACAGTCCACTCAGCTCAAAAGCTTTATGCTGGTGTTTATGCTTTGTATATTGCATGGAGTCGTAGGACATTACATGCTAGCAGGTTGGAAATCCGAATGCAGATTTAAGGGATTGGGAAAGCAGCTATTTGGTAGTCATGTCTGTATTGGTTCTTTGGCAGAGCTATCCAGTTCATTCCACTCCTTTGCTCTGTCCCTGCAGCCCTGCAAGTGTTGGACCTTCATTTTTTGATCCTATTTTCTCAAATACAATTAAATCTGCTTCCACTATGACAGTTCACAACAACTCGTAAATAAAATTCTCACATTGCATCAGATTCTTTCCCAATCCCTTAAATCTGCATTCGGATTTCCAACCTGCTAGCTACTGGTTATAAGTTTCTCTAATGATCTCTCAAAATCCTTCATGATTTTGAATATCTCTAAATGCAGAAATTCAGAATTGTGTGTTAAAATGCATCATGCACGTGTGCTCATTTCACTACCTCATCTTGAAGTTTTCCTGAAGTATTCCTAACCTCATTTTCCTCTACCTTTGAGGTGTGTGACATTTGCAAAACTTGACATGATACTGCGAATACACAAGGCAGTGTTTTTAACATGTTAAAAACAGTGTTCTAAATCCTGGCCTCTTGGGTAATAAAACTGCTCACTTCCCTCTTTAATGACGGACTTTTTATTTTGCTGATAAAGTTATTCATGACATTGTCAAACACCTTTTGGTTTGAATAAATCCACCAATTAGAGCAGAATGCCAGCTTACACTTCCTACCAGTGATGCTCTATAATTTAGTCAAGTTGGGCTCACGTTGAAAGGGACATCATCTCAAATTCATGTAGCCCTTGAACCAGTGCAAACAGAAAACAAAGTGCAGAAGAGAGGAAAAAAAACAAGAAGCGTGGACCTGAAGGTGACAAAACAGAATGAGGAAGACAGTTGAACACATTACCTGTTCTGGTAGAAAGTGAATCTGGGTAACCGCTGCATTCTCCTCATGCAAGCCCATGATCTCCACCTCAGGTGCTCCGTAGCTAAAGCCACAAGTTAAGGACGACCAATTTCAGCACAAACCTTTCTGTAACATTTAACCTCAATTTCTGAAGTATTTTAGAAGCCCTAACAATGTGCACTGTCACGATCCTCCTCATAGTTCAAAATGCTTACATATTTTCTGTAAGGTTTGAAATTATGCCCATAAACACACAGGTCATTACACATATTAGAAAGAATGTCAGTATAAATTTTCATCCAGTTGGCAAAAAACAGCCATTAGCCATTGCATTTTGTTTCCAGTCACTTGGCCAATTCTGTATTCATGTTGTTACCGTCCCTTTGAGCTCTAAACTTGAACAAAACTACACAATTAGAACAAATGCTATTTGGAAGTCTGTATAGATCACACGAACAGCATTCGTTACCCCAACCAAAAAAAAACTCAGATGTTAACTAAAAACTACTCTCCCTGAAAAAAATTCATGCTGACTTTCCTTTGCATCTCAGTTTTACCCAAAAACTCTCCTTTCTAAAATACTTCCCCACCACTGTAGTTAAACTGACTTGCCTATGGTTACTTGGTTCATCTTTTACATCAACTAGTGGTGTCTGGGACCGTTCTGAAATCTAGGAGGTTGAAAAACTCTCTCCTTCTTTTGAAGAAAGATAATCAGCACTACCAAGACTGGAATTGTGAATCGGCCTTTAGTCTCCAGGGCAGGGCTTATAAAGTTAATGGTAAGGCCCCGATAGTGTTGGCAAACAGAGACACTGAGGCACTCAGGCAAAGAGCTCTTTGAAAGTTACACCACAGATAGACAGTGATTAAGACGGCACATTCAACATGCTTGCCTTCATTGCTCAGATCATTGAGGACAGAAGTTGAGATGTCCTGTACAACCTTTAACATGACATTGCTGATGCCACTTTTGGAGTACTGTGTCCAGTTCTGGTCACTTTGCTTTCAGAAGGATATTATTAAATTGGCAAAGGTTCAGAAAAGATATACCAGGATGTTGCCAGGACTGGAGGATTTGAGTTATAAGAGGAGGCTGGGACTTTTTTCATTGGAACCTAGGACGTGAAGGGTGACCTTAAATAAATTCATAAAATTAGGACAGTCATAGATAAAGATGAATACCAAAAGGTGAGGGGAATTTAAAACTAGGGAGCATATTTTTAAAGGAGAGGGGAGAAAGATTTAAAAAGGTTCCCAAGAGGCAACTGATTTTTTTTTAAAAAAAAAAAAACACAGGGTGGTAGATGCAGGTACAGTGACAACATTTGAAAAGACATTGGACAGGTTGAAATGAATATGGGCCAAATTCAGGCACGTGGGACTAGGTTAGTTTAGGAACATGGTCTGCATAGATGAAGTGGACTGAAGTGCCAGTTTCAATGCTCTATGAATAGCTCTTTAAACTGAAGGCAGGCAAACAAACAAACAAACACCAAACTCTAATAACAGCAGGTTCATGGACAACGTTGGGAATGGAGCCCACGACAGAATGCTGCAACTGCCTTCCACTTTTGTTCTTCCCTTACATCACTGCATTTTGCCTCTACTCATTATAAACATATCTCCCTGATATTGTCATTCTAACAAAAAAAGTAATTGATCTGCAACACTGATGGTTCCCATCTCCACAGATGCCAGACAGGCTCAGCATTTCCAGCACTTTGCTTTTGCTCAGTTTACCAACTATAAAGTGATCTAGGCTAAAATGCCATAAAAGGTTTTTAACCAAATAAATTAGGAATTTATTGAATGCAATTCATCTGTTGCAGGCAGATTATTATTGACACAGGATTTCAAGCAGTGGGGTCAGTGGCATCGTGGGCACACGAATATCTTGAGATTGTTGAAAATTGAAAGGGAGCAGTGCTCCTCAGCTTGCATAACATTAGGAGTGTGGTACCAATAAGTCTCCAGCTGCAGACTATCAATATTTGGCTCAGCTCCTGGATCTACAGGGGCAAACTTCAGTGGAAACTTCCAGGGAGAGTGGCTTTGTGACAAAGGGCCAAAAGCAAATGGGAATTAAATGCAAGCCTGGAAATGCTGCAAGAGAAAAGGCAACTGGTACACTGGGCTTGACCACTGTCAAGTTGCACATACTCATCTTGTCATTAATTCTTTTCAGCAGAGCAAACAGTCTGAAAGCCTCAAGACATTACAAAAAAAGTCATTTATTTTATGTTGCAGTAAGTTCTGGGGTTAAATAGCAACTGGGGAAGAAATGAAGTTTCAGGCACTAAAAAAAAAAAAAAAAAAAAAAAAAACTGGCATCTGGTGCACAAAATGCCTATTGTTGGCACACAGACTCAGAGTTACTGCACAGGCAACCAGTTCAACAAATCACATTGGCTCTTCCTTTTTGAGTGTAAAAGTATTCACCCAACTCAATTCAGTCACCTACAAGTTGCCATTTTCAATAAGCAACCCCTGGGTTACAAACCAGTTCCATTCTGGAGTCCATTTGCAAGCTGACTTGTACAAAAGGCAGGACAATGTAAAGGAGCTGTTCCTAAGTATAGGAAAAGCTCGTATCTCAGATTTTTAAAATGACACCCCTGGCATGCGATTGTATTCTTAAGTACCAGCGCTCATAAGTTGGATATTCATAAGCCAGGGACACTCTAAAACAAACCCATTCTCATTTAAAATCTGTTGACCGATGTTAGCTTCCCCTTGTCCAGACAGCGAATTTCATATGCCAACAGATCTCGGCATTTCAAAAACTCCTTGTATTTGTTCAAGATCTGATTTTTACAAAATATGAACAGTCAGGGCCAACAGACAGTTTAACTGTAACATGTCAGTTTGGAGACAAGTGAGTGTGGTAAATGTATGTAGGTGATAAAGTCTCACTTCAGCATTGCTGAGCACCATACACTAGAAACAATGGAAAGCAATCTTTTTGACGATTTCAGTCAAGATATAAACAAAGATGATGTGATCTACTACTTTGCAATGTAACCAAGTGAGTGAGAACTTTCCTGTGCCTAAATAATTTTCTAAAATTTCTACAAAATACCAGAGTATTTTTGTTGTTAATCACTGTACATAATTCAGGTTTGTCAGTAGCATGCAGACTGAAAGTGACCAAAGGGGAAAAAAAATTCCTTTTGTGAACCGGGAACTCCTGAGCCCCATTTCTTCAGTTACATCTCTCAGCACTTATCAGAAATAGCCAAACTCTCATCAGTAAGCTCTTCTGCAGTCTAGAACCTGAAGTTACAAGACTCACTTCCCTTACATATTTCACAAAATAAGCAAATGGAACACTGTCTGGCACAAGCCAGGATCACTGGAGAAATTAGTTGAGGTAAGTGCAAGTTGAAATCGGAAAAGCTTCCTTGATTGCAGTGAAGAAAGATCCTTCAACTATATTCACCAGCCAGCAAGGGACCTTTACTTGCAGGTGTAAGTTGAGAAAAACCAAAAGAGCACAATTTTTAATTGCATGTGAAAAAGATACATCTTGAAGGCCCCTGAACGGCTTCCAATGGCCATGAGCTGGAGACTTGAACAGTAAGCAAGAGCACTGGGCTGATGTGGAAATCCATGCTCCACAGTCTGGGATGAAAAATAACAAGTTGAGAATAGTTACACAATCAGGTTGGAATGTTTAAGAAAATTTCACATTGCAGTGGATAACATTCTGAGCAGATGTTAGCCAATCCTACCACACACTAAGAACAGACAGTGTTAGGCGTACAATTTAAAGTAGCACCACTGACAACCAGTACAATGCTATGTAACAAGATTACCCAACTTTAGAAATAGCTGAAATAAAATAAAGAACTGCAGATTCTGCAAATCTGAAACAAGTGACGAAGTGACTTTTGACTGACTTTTTGTCAAAGAAATAACTACTTGTTCAGTGTCTGGAATGGAAAAGCAGAAATCTTCCATCTCTCAAATAGACGTTACTTAAGCAGCACTGCATACAATATCCCATTCCTGGAACTTGAATGAGCAGAGACAGCCCCAAAAGTTGATAGGGTTGTAAAGAAGGCATATGGTGTGCTGGCTTTCATTGGCAGGGGAATTGAGTTTAAGAGCTGTGAGGTTACACTGCAGCTCTATAAAAAAATCTCTGGTTAGACGACACTTGGAATATTGTGTCAGTTCTGGTCATCTCATTGTAGAGAATGTGGAAGCGTTAGAGAAGCACGCCACTGACCAAGCCTCCTGATGAAATTACCACAAAGAATACAATTCAGCTACTGCTTTCATCCCAAAAATGCAGAAATTACCATCACTCAAGATTTGAACTGACAAACATGTTCTATTTAATATTTGAAATTAACAGTAATTTTTATTTTCAAGTAGCTTGGAACCTGACTGAGCTGAACTTTGGTGACACAGCATCATGTGGCAGCGTGGGGGAGCGGAATGTTACTTGGACATTGTTCTGGAGGTAGTCGTACAGTTTGGTTAGATACCAAGTATTTATATGGTTAGTCTAGTCCAGTTTCTGTTCAACATTTAAACACCTCTCCTGCCCAGATGTTGATAGCCAGACAGGAGATTCAGCAATGGGAATATCAAGGGCATTGGACAAAACAGAACCACACAAGGCAGTGATGTCTGGGTTGCTATCCGAGCTGTGAATAAAATGGTTTCTGGGTGAAATAAAATCAAGGTTGAATATATGGCTCGAGATTGGTATAGAAGAAAGGTGTTTAGATTCATGGGACACTGGCACCTGTACTAGGGAAAGACAGAAATGTTTAATTGGGACACCCTCCAGGTGAACCACTTGAATAAGTGTACTGGCAAATCAGAGAAGTGATTCTAAAATGAGCTTTAAAAAATATCATACCATGGCGTGGCAAAGATTTGAAAAGTTAGAGAAGAGACAAAGCAAATAATGAAGGGTAGCAAAGCAGCTCATGAGAACCAGAGCAGAACAGGAGATAGAGCATACAGACACGAGTCTAAGGCAAATGAAAAGGTCAGAGTAAGGAAACTTGCCCAATATCAGAATTAAAAGCTCTCTACCCAAATGCACAACATTTACGATAATTAGGCAACACAAAAACTAAAATGACACAGCCAAGAGGAGCAAGGGTGGGATAGAAAAGCTGGTTCAGAAGGGCGAACGAAGGGGTGTTGAGGGAGGAAGTTTTAAGACAGCAGTGCAGTCTTGGTTTGAAGAATCAAAATTTAGCATCAACTGAACTGGAAATAAGAATATAAAAAACGGAAAGAAGTCTCTGGGAGGTGGTTTTTAAATGACCCCTTGCATTTGTTCTGCTTTACACTACATAATTAATAAGTAATGCGATTTTCAAGAAAGGAGCTGCAATAATTGCAGAAAATTACAACCTTCCTATAAATTTGACACGTCAACATGGGGATGGAGGCAGGTGGGAAAGGTGGTCACGGAATGAGTGCATACTGCTTTCTTGACAGATTCTAAGAACAGTACTTCTGGTTCCAGGCCGTTTTAGACCTGGTAAATGTGTCATAAGGCAGGCATATAGTTAATGACCTAAGTTTAAAAAAAAACTGTAATAGTAGCAACACTGGAGATTTGGGGTAAGTTTCAGAAATCAAGAAGGGTGATAAATATGACCAGAGAAATTTGAGCACAAGAGGAAATAGCAAATAAAAAAAAAAAGTGATATAAAAACAGTTTCTACAAAGAAAATGCTGAAAACTAAAGAGTAAGTAGAGTAAACATTGCATCAAATAAGGAACCAAAAAAAGGAAATTCTAGAACTTCAAACTAGGCTCTGCGCCTGTCTTTATAACACAAGACAAGGTATGCCAAGGAATAGGAAATCAAAAAGTAATGAAAAATAAAATCACTCAAAATTTAATTCAATTTAAAAAAAGTTAATAAGTCCCCTCAACCCAACAGTAGCATCCCACTTTCCTGAAAAGACCTGGAGAAGTAGAGAATTCATTGGCTGTAATTTTCCCAAATTGCCTACATTCTGAAAAAAGTCTCAGCAGGTTGGGAAAATGCAATAAAATAGCTCTTTTCAAGACAGGTAATAGACAAAGCAATAAACAATATGATCAGTGAATTTATTAGACAAAAACCCTCATCTATAGAGGAGCTAGCACCAGCATACTAAGAAAATTGTACAATTGGGCAGAATGAACATGGCTTTACACACAGGAAAGCATTCTTAATTTTGCGATGGTAACTAGCATGGTGTATAGGGGTAACTTGCAGATGGACTCTATTCGGATTTCCAAAGAACAGAGGGGTACCACAAAAAAATGGTAACAATACACTGGGGTGATACCTTAACCAAGGCTCCTTAGACAGCACCTTCCAAACCCACACTGTCATTATAGAAGAACAGGGCAGCAGATAATTTGGAACACCACCTTTAAAGCTCCCTCCAAGCTAGTCACTATCCTGACTTTCAACTGCATCATCGTTCCTTCGCTGCTCTTGGATCAAAATCCTGGAACTCCCTCCCTAATGGCCTTGTGGACCTACACCAAATGTACTACACATGTTCAAAATTATTGCCCTTCAGTCATGGTGAGCTACCACTTCTCAAGGGCAATGAGGGACGGGCAATAATTGCTGGTCCAGGCAGTGATACTTACATCCCTCAAGTCATCATAGATAGAGGGTTAGTCTGGATAAAAGTACAGGATAGGTAAACTAATTAGGTGAAGTGCTACAGGGATCAGAATTGGGGCCTCGACTATAAATCAATTTATCTGGATGACTTAAAAAAGTTCAGTAGATTTAGCTTCCATTTAGAGGAAAGCAAGCCATGAGCATGATGTGTTAAGCATTTAGAAAAAAGGGACATAGACTGATTAATGAGTTTTAAAATGAAATTAGCAGATGGTGTGTATTTATGGGACAATGGGAGGCTGTTGACATTGGCAAGCCAAATAGAAAATCATACTATTCAAACAGACATACCAAAGAATGCTGCAATAGAGGAATCTGCCCATTCTTATTGATGGATCCAAGTGGTAGTAGGCACTCATTGGGGAGGCAACACGGTGGGGGGGGGGGGGGGGGGGGGTGGAGGGGAGACAGGGAGAACTTTGTGGTGGCAGTTAATTTGTACACAAGAAACAGAACAGGAGCAAAGAAAAAAGAACACAATAAATTCTTTCCACAGCTTTGACTTTCAGTCCGATCTCAGTTGGTTTGGTGGCAGATCACAGGCTCAGTCATGGATTTAAGTTCCACCCCAGGATCTGAACACCTCATTTCAGCTAACTATTCAGTGCTGCAATGCACACTCCACTGCAGAGGGACTTCTTTGGAATGCAATGTTGCACATATTCAGTTGCAGTCCACTGCATTATCTGGTGAGCAGGAAGGTGTTCCTGCTCACAGCACCAGGGACCCAGGTTCAATTCCAGCCTTGGACAACTGTCTGTGTGGAGTTTGCACACTCTCCCCACGTTTAGGTGGATTTCCTCCAGGTGCTCTGGTTTCCTCCCACAGTCTAAAGTCATGCAGATTACATGGACTGGCCATGCTGATTTGCCTATAGTGTTCAGGGATATGTTGGTTAGGTGGATTAGCCATGGGAAATGCAGAGTTTCTCAGGACAGCTGAGGGGGACAAGTCTGGGTGGGATGCTCTTTGGAGAGTCGATATGGACTTATCGGGCTGAATGGCTTGTTTCATAGAATTCACAGAATCCCTACAGCAGGCAATGAATTTATTTCTCAACTAGGACTGAAACAGATAATCTGGCCATTCATCCCTTAGATGCCCGCTGAGATGCTGTTGCTTTTCTCTATCCACTGACATCCAACAGAATAAGTACTACGACAACAGAACTGGGCTTAGCTCCGATATTTCTTAGAGTAACAGATTGGTAACAGGCTAGGCTCTCAATAAACAGCCAGTTAAGCACATTACCAGCAATTGGCCAAACCCAAAAGGAACAGGGCCCAAATCCCAAACAGCAGCAGATCAGATGTTCAGGAGAATTGGAGCAGCTAACTAACCTTGTTAAATTGAAACAGGTCCTGTTTGATGCGCTCTCGGTTAAGCTCATGCCCATGTCTTCGGAATCTCTTCATTGTTCCAGTTCAGTGGAGGGGAGGCAGCTTCAGTACAACTATCAATTGTTTGTTTCTAGAAGGGAAAAAAAAAGACAGATTCAGAAAGGCTCCTCCCCTTCCATCTGTCCCTGGTGACAGGTATTCTTAGCTGCACCAAGCCCTACATAGACAGATCATCCAATATGTTCTTTGTCATACACAGACTACCAAGATGACATCATTATTTAGCTGGCACTCAGTCAGCAATTATTAACCCAGCTCAATGTTTACAGAAGCACACTTCAAACATAGTGCCTTTAATACTCTTAGCTCACGTAGTACATCTGATATGCAGTACAAATAGTTACCAACACAAGCAACATTGCGTTATTTACTGAACTCTTTAGTGTATATCATTTCCCCACTGACTCTTGATCTCTTAAAAAAAGGTGTTGACCCAGGTGATGGCTCTGGGCCACAGGCAGTAGTTGGTGTGCCAAAGACTACTTATGTACCATGAACCTTAGCCATGAATAGCAATGGTCAGAAGAGGCCCTAGTCTGTGATTCAGCAACAACCAGTCAGGACTCAAAAACAGAATTGCATTGCAGTGACAGAACCGACTTACTCAACCAAATTGCTGCTCTCTTGGGAAGGTTCTGCTCGTTTTCGATTTTGTTCCATATACAACAGTTACATTCCCCGATAGTCAATACATTTATCCACACTACATAGAGCTTGAAAGGGGAATATGAGCAACGCAATCTGGGGCAAAGTCCTGCAGTCATGCTCAATAGCTACATATACCATTTTCTCGCAGGATCACTCATGGGACCAGGAACAAGAATCCAGTTTTCCTTCCCACTTCATACAGCAGAAAGGCCTGTTGTAGAACCCATTCCCTATCTTAGCCCTAACTTGTATAGGTATACCAGTTTGCAAGATCTGCTTCTCATGATGAAAGGTTGCTTTCTCATCATCCCCACAATGCATGCAATTACTGGGCCTGCATGATTGAATGTGGGAAAAGGAAACCTAATCATTGGTCTAAATTAGAAGTCTTTTGTAGTTAACAACCATTGATTACATGCTTGCAACTAATTACAGGTTATGTTTAGATGATTTTTGTTACAGACTTGGAGGAGTATCACTCTTCCAAGATCCCAAGCTGTTAGGTTCTCAAGTCTATATGACACCATGATGAACAGTTCTTATGTCACTCCTTCGTATTTAATCTTTTCAGACTAATAACATTTGTATCCAGCTGACTCATTTCAGGGACTTTTCATACTCAAAACCCGTTAAATTAATTGCCACCAACTGACCCGGAAAAGAAATACAGCAGTTACTTAAGGTACAAAGGTTAGTAGAAATTACAGTTGGAGATAGACACAGGAACAACCAGGCAATCCAAGAGTGGTGAACATAATCAATGCTGCTGGGGATGAGACCAGTCAATCCACAAATGAGGCCAACTTGTTAGAGGGAAGGTGAACAAGGTACAAGTGAGAAAATCCCTAACTCCTGCCACCAAGAATGGCATGAACATGTGCACACAGGCCAAAAGGGAGCAGCGTGGACCACGAGCAACTGTTCCTGACAACTGTAGCCAGCTTTAATTTACTCCCTGGAAGGTTTCAGTTTGTATCTCAACTTAACTTACATAACACTGGAGGCATTAAAAGCATTTCTTGCTTTCTGCCTCTGATCATGTGCACAAAGCACTCCCCTATTTCCAAAACACAACTAAATGTAAACTTTGGGCCCAGACCCTTCATCAGAAAAGGGGGAGGGGAAGGGGGTTCTGAAATAAATAGGGAGAGAGAGCGGGAGGCAGATAGAAGATGGATAGAGGAGAAGATAGGTGGAGAGGAAACAAACAGGTCGAAGAGGCGGGGATGGGGCCAGTAAAGGTAAGTTAGGAAGGGGATAGGTCAGTCCAGGGAGGACGGACAGGTCAAGGGGGCGGGATGAGGTTGGTCGGTAGGAGGTGGAGGTGCGGCTTGAGGTGGGAGGGGGGGGGTAGGTGGGGGGTAGGACAGGTTAGGGAGGCAGGGACAAGCTGGACTGGTTTTGAGATGCGGTAGGGGGAGGGGAGATTTTGAAGCTTGTGAAATCCACTTGGGAACCCTGCAGCCCAATGGTATCAAAGTGGAATATGAGTTGCTGTTCCTGTACCACCCGAAGGTTACAGGAACAGCAACTCATATTCCGCTTGGGAACCCTGCAGCCCAATGGTATCAATGTGGATTTCACAAGCTTCAAAATCTCCCCTCCCCCTACCGCATCCCAAAACCAGTCCAGCTCGTCCCTGCCTCCCTAACCTGTTCTTCCTCCCACCTATCCCCTCCTCCCACCTCAAGCCGCACCTCCACCTCCTACCGACCAACCTCATCCTGCCCCCTTGACCTGTCCGTCCTCCCTGGACTGACCTATCCCCTTCCTAACTCCCTACCTACACTCACCTTTACTGGCCCCACCCCCGCCTCTTCGACCCGTTTGTTTCCTCTCCTCTATCCATCTTCTATCCGCCTCCCCCTCTCTCCCTATTTATTTCAGAACTCCCTTCCCCTCCCCCTTTTCTGATGAAGGGTCTAGGCCCGAAACGTCAGCCTTTCTGCTCCTAGGCCTGCTGTGTTCATCCAGCCCTGCACCTTGTTGTCTCGGATTCTCCAGCATCTGCAGTTTCTACTATCTCTAAATGTAAACTTTTATTGCTGTTCACTGCCATCACTAACAAAGGGGTAGGACTTAGTCCATGATTCACTACATAAATGTATAGTATACACTGTAAAATCACCAAAACACTCTCCTGGTGTTGAGAAAGCATTTTAATAGCTCCAACTGTGTTGGCAGCCGAATGTATCTTGCAAAATGGTATGTGCAATGATAGAGAGAGGATCTCATATCCATTGCACAGAGGTAGAATTATTGGAGATCATGACTAAATTTAAGCATGATTGAGGTCAGACTAGAAGTAGCTGATATATTGGTCAGTCAGCATCTGGGGAAGAGATAGACAATGTTAGATTCAGTGGAATTTCACACACTCCGAGTGTTTCCAGCTTCAGAGTTGCAACATTTTCTTTAAAAATACTGTGGGGCCCGGGGAGTTTGTAACTACTAAGTGGCTGGTGAGAATGCTCACTGCAGAATTAAACCAAAATATGCCTAATTCAAGAGCCAGTGTGATCATTAATACATTTACACAGAACAAATCCTATTTCAGGTTCTTATAACTGTGAACTGGCAACTCTGTCTCCATATCGGGCAACCACCTAGAAACCGATATTCATTTCAAGCCCACCGACTCCCACAGCTACCTAGAATACTCCTCCTCCCACCCACCTTCCTGCAAAAATGCTATCCCCATTCCCAATTCCTTCGCCTCCGCCGCATCTGCTCCCAGGATGAGGCATTTCACTCCCGTACATCTGAGTTGTCCTCGTTTTTCAAGGACCGTAACTTCCCCCCGTCAGTGGTCGAGAACGCCCTCAACCGTGTCTCCCACAACTCATCCCTCACACCCTGTCCACGCAATAAGAACCAAAAAAGAATCCCCCTCGTCCTCACGTACCACCCCACCAACCTCCGGATCCAACGCATCATCCTCCGACACTTCCGCCATCTGCAATCCGACCCCACCACCAAAGACATCTTTCCCTCCCCACCCTTATCTGCTTTCTGGAGGGACAACTCTCTCTGTGACTCCCTTGTCCGCTCCACACTCCCCTCCAGCTCCACCACACCCGGCACTTTTCCCTGCAACCGCAGGAAGTGCTACACCTGCCCCCATACCTCCTCCCTCACCCCCATCCCAGGCCCCAAGAAGACTTTCCACATCAAGCAGATGTTCACCTGCACATCTGCCAATGTGGTATACTGCATCCGCTGTACCCGGTGTGGCTTCCTCTACATCGGGGAAACCAAGCGGAGGCTCGGGGACCGCTTTGCAGAACACCTACGCTCGGTTCGCAATAAACAACTGCACCTCCCAGTCGCGAACCATTTCAACTCCCTCTCCCATTCCTCAGACGACATGTCCATCCTGGGCCTCCTGCAGTGCCACAACGATGCCACCCGAAGGTTGCAGGAACAGCAACTCATATTCCGCTTGGGAACCCTGCAGCCTAATGGTATCAATGTGGATTTCACAAGTTTCAAAATCTCCCCTCCCCCTACCGCATCCCAAAACCAGTCCAGCTCGTCCCTGCCTCCCTAACCTGTTCTTCCTCCCACCTATCCCCTCCTCCCACCTCAAGCCACACATCCATCTCCTACCGACTAACCTCATCCTGCCCCCTTGACCTGTCTGTCCTCCCTGGACTGACCTATCCCCTCCCTAACTCCCCACCTACACTCACCTTTACTGGCCCCATCCCCGCCTCTTTGACCTGTTTGTTTCCTCTCCACCTATCCTCTCCTCTATCCATCTCCCACTCTCCCTACTTATTTCAGAACCCCCTTCCCCTCCCCCTTTTCTGATGAAGGGTCTAGGCCCGAAACGTCAGCCTCTCTGCTCCTATGATGCTGCTTGACCTGCTGTGTTCATCCAGTCCTGCACCGTCTTAAAGTCGAATTCTTTTTAATGCTTTTGAATATGCTCTACAATAAATTGTCACATGTTCAGACACAAGAGCGATTGGCCTAGTTTCTGTACGCTGCTATAGTGCTTCAGGACTTTGACAATGAGGATGCAGGACAAGGAGGCACGAACAATTCTCACTAGTCTACTACACCTCATGAGGCTCTTCTCCACAGATCAGTTTCTTATCCTCATCTGTCAAGGACTTGTATCTTCAATAACAGAACACAGGATCAGGAAGATGTAGGCCATTCAACTCCTTTGGCCTGGTCTACTAAATAAGATAAGATTATAAGATCTGTTAGAATTCTTTGGAGGTGGTAATGAGCTAGCTAGATAAAAGCAGAGCCTGTGGACATGAATTGTTTAGATTTCCAGGGCCTTTGACAAGGTTCTGCACAGGAGGCTGCTAAATAAGCTAAGGCCACATGGCAGAGGTTTGCCTGATAGATAGAAGGCAGACAGAGGGGATAAAACCGTCTTTTTAAAAAAGGTGGCAGCTAGTAACT